TGACACTAAGATTGTAACAAAATGCAAAATTAGCATACATACTTTAGTTTTATTATCTATTATATGAATGGAGTAGTATGGAATATAGACATAAACATCACATTTTTAATATTGTTAAAAGGTCTTTAATTTTAAGTGGGTAATATCCACAACAGTAATTCGATATTTTTTCGGTATGTACGCACAGTATTTTTAAAAATCCATTCTCGAATGTTTAATATTTTAAAAACATTGATAATTTGATATGCATCTATATATTGCAACACAGTCTAATTCACCCTTCTGGAAATTATGTCACTTTGGCTGTAGAGCCTCGTTGTTATGTATGTGACAATAGAGAGTTTGAGCAAGACAACGAAGACAAAGACAGACTTGATCATTTTTGCCTGTCTGCACTGTTTATGAATACTGTCCCTAATCCTTACCCAGTCCCAGACAAAACAGTGAGACATGAAGCTCTTTCTCGTCTTTGTTCTCCTGCCTTCGTTCAAAATAAGTTCATGACTAATTTTGCCAAAATATTCATTCTGAATGAAGGCAGAAGAATTAGAACGAGGACTTTTATCAGGGTAAAGATTAGGATCAGCATTCATAAACGGTGAGACATTTTCAATCCTTGGTTTTGTGGTTCCGTACGTCATTTTCCTCATACTGTAGTGTCTGTATAATTGCTACAAAGCCCTGGGTACGAGATTGTTCCTATCTTCACTAAAAACTAACAGTGTGGTACAAGCCTTTGGGTTTTGGTTTTTAAAGATTGAATAAAACAATGTTGTGATGCGGAAAGTGTATGATTTCACAGGATACAGGAATCTATATATTTTATATATATAATTAATTAGTTTCTGCTTTTTTGACATTTTGTGCTGTCTGTCGTGATTATTTTTCCAATACAACCTTCCGAAAAGCATGTCACTTGGGCACAGAGCCTTGTTTCATGTATGTAAGGTTAGTTCAATCCAAGCCTCCCAATCACGAAAACGAGCCAAAGTGACGTATGAACAACATGTGACATCTTTCTTATCATATGACATATTTCTTATCAAATTTTCTAAATATGATTTTGTATTTCAAATCAACAAATTTCAAATATAATTCCTTGAAACGTTATCTCACAACGAACAACAGTGAGATTTTATTTACGTCAAAGTTTCGAGTGTAGTGCTGAAAGCTATGAAATACTGTCCGTACTGTTGCATGGGGTACCAACTTGAGCTCGACTCAACACTTCTTGGCTTGAAAAGTTCATTCTTTTTCCATGATCCTTGATACACGTGTCTAGGCTGACAAAAGTCTGTTTTTGCATGGTGCAAAGCAGTTTCAGGGTTCGTATAGCGGTCTTTGAAATCCTTGAAAGTCTTTAAATTTGAATGCAGGTCTTTAAGGTATTTGAAAAGTCTTTGAATTGTGTGAAAAAGTGAAGAAAGTCTTCAAAAGTCTTTAAATTCTTTAGTGAGTATTTGATTATACGATTTCCTAGCTAATAAAATAGATTGATTGAAGCAAAATTTTCGCAAATATCGACGAAAAGGCGCATTTTAGGATGTGATTTGACTGGACTAATTACTGTGTAAAAATGGTGCTTACACTCGCAATTTTTCGACAGCTGATTGCTCTCAAAGGTCTTTGAAAGTCTTTGAAAATAGGCAGAAAAAATCTTTGAAAGTCTTTGAATTGTTTTAGTCTTGGAGACTACGAACCCTGAGTTTGTAGTAGGACTTCTTTTGGCAGTATAGATATTAGGAAACCTTAAGTTTATACATAAGAAACGGTTTGTTTTATTTTGTTAGTAACTGTCTTGGAACAAAAAAAGATAGATGACAGAAAAAACACTGTAAATACGGTTGAGAAGTAAGTACTGTACAGGTTATTCCAACTCTGTAGTCTGTGATCTATGTTATATCTTATATACTGTATGCTGTATGCAGTGTCCTGACACCCCTAACTGAAATACCACTTATACTGTGTTTTAGAGATATTGACAAAGCAAAAGATGCGGGAATTCCTACCCCGGTCACAACTGAGAAACCAGTAGTAAACCAAGAACAGCCTAAGGGTAGAGATTTGCCTCTTAAACATGAACGAAATTTTTCAAAGAAACATTTTCAAAAAGGCAAATCAAGACGTGATCCCAGTGATGAAGGTTTAAGGATGCTACAAAAGAAACCTGTAGGTCAAAATTGTAAGTTCATTTGGAGGACGTTTTAAAATGATATATGAATTTTGTAATGACATAATGTTTGTCGACCGAGTAAAGTTGACGTCATTCATTTCCAACAATCGGTTTTACACTATCGGAAATACAGATAATTTATGCATTCTGACGCCAGACTTATAAGAAAGGTCTCTTATACTAATTTCGTGATTGTGATTTCTTGCAGGTAACTCTGAAGATTTCGTTGAAACTTCAGAAGATCATGAAAATTTTACTATCAATCCTCCTGATGTTGTCCTGATTGATTCATTTGAAGAGGCATTTGAACAAGCGGTAAGTGTTATTTCAAAATCACGTTTAGCAACAAACACAGTTTGAAGTATAGTAGCCGAGAACCTAAAAATAAAACAATAGTAGATTAGTCACCATGTCATGGGAAGGTCACGATTTCGAGAGGGCCTGCGGAATCTTGTAAAATGAATAAATGTTGTTCTAAACCTGCTTCGTTAAAGAAGGCGCTTTTATTCGTGCAACGTTGGTGTGGACAACAAACCTTATCGTTAAAAAATGCTTCCTTCCACGTCCTTAGAGTCGCCATTTTAATTTACAAGTTTCGCGCCGCTTTTTTATAGCCTGTTTATATTCAAGATTATGTTTTACCTTTCTGTACTGTTTTATCTTCCTGAGATATTGGTTCATCATAATTTCTGAAATAAGACGGTAAATTTTATTATTCGTTAAGAAAACGTTAATTCTATCGCCGTCTTGTTAATATGGCTAATTTGTCGGCAATCATATCCGAATGGCAATGTTTATCGAGGGATGCTTTGGTGGAGAAGTTAGGGACCGATCATTATTTATGGCAGGGGTGGGGGCCGAAGAGAAAAGGGTGGGGTAACTGAAAAATAATAGTTGCTTTAGGTGGGGTGACCAAAAAATCCTTGCATGCAGAGGTGGGGTAAAAAAAAATAACCTTACTTTAATCACACACAATACAATATATACTACAATCAGTGTTTAATATGTGATTATTCTAATTTTTTAATAAAATATTATTGCTTTCCAAAATGTTGACAGAAACACCCCCCTCAACCCACCCGTAAAGGGTTATTTTTATATTCATTTACACACAAAATCTCCAAAGACTCCAATTACCAGACAAAATATATACTGCCTATATATAGGGGCTGTTGAAGATCAATTATATGGTGCAACTGCAAGCCAACCCCAGGTACCCAAGTGGCCCAGTTTTGGCAAGATCCTGCCTTTGTTGTTATTTCTTACTAAAGTTCACCTAGCCCGAGATCTTGCTTCAGGAAAAGTGACCTTAAGTCTGTAGCCCCTAACCCCGGGCATCCAGCCTCACCCCCATATAAACATCCTCTCGTTACATATCTCAAAAAGTATATGTACAGTCTATTAAATTTTCAGGATTTAATTTTTGGGCATCTACACTTGATACGTACTGCATAACTAATATTTATATCCAGTATGTGCTTGTAAACCATGTGGACAATTCAGGTAGCAAATCATGAAATATGCCCCATGCCCCTTGTGAATCTGGAGAATCATTCCAATGGCTAGTTCACAATAGACTCTAGCCTTTGGCAACTAGCTGTTTTTCTTTACTAGCAGATCATGTATACATGGATAAAATAAGAGAAATCTATTTACCCGTTTTACAGATTAATTTAATTGTTTATATAATCATACTTGGAATTCGGATGAATATCTTTATCTTCACACTGTATAACAGCAACTTTTTCTCATTAATTTACAGTAACTTTCTAAATTCAGATATTCTCACATGGGACAAATACTTTAGTATCGTTGTATTGTTTACGAATTAAAATATTAAATTGATTTCATAAACTTCAAGAATTCCTTGGGAATTCTTAAGGAATTCCTCTAAAATTCCGTGATATGATAATACATGTGATTGTCTATAGTATTAAAGGAAATATTAAAGGAATTTCAGAGGAAATTTAGAATTTAGATAGTTGCAATCATGGGTGAGCACATACTAGTTTGTGAAACTGTTTCAAAATAAAATTGCATTTTAATTAATAAAGAAATGCAAGAATGTGAAAGAAACCAAATTATATACAGTGAAACTTTAAAGTGAGAAAGAGATAGGGTGGTGAAATATGGTTAGTGTTCTAAAATATTGAAGCATATGGTTATTAATATATGTTTTAATATGGGACTAGCGTTGCACTAGCTATCTCGTGAAAAGGGAATATAGCGTTGAATACAAACTATAAAAACCCATTCATATTTCAATTTTACAAGTAGACAAATTTTAAGCCTTCAGATAACTATAATTCTTTATATAGTACCTTGCTATTGTAGGGGTAACCCATAATATAAAGGCATGACTGTTAGTGTTCTTTAATTAGCCTACTCACAAGAAATAAGGGGCAAGGGATATTGGTAAACAAGTATTACCAATCAATCCTATTCCCTTTTAATTATAATGTCCACTGTGGTCAAAGCACCCTATAATAATTATTATTTACTCTCTAACAGCAGATGATCTTACTCATCAAGGGCAATTTTGTACCTTGATGAGTAATACGCATACAAAATACTAAACTGTTTCATTACATATTTTATGTCTGAACCTTTGACATTGCAACAAAATAGGTTTGGGTGGGGTAAAAAAATTTTCTGGCATTCCACCGGTGGGGTAGCTAGAAATTTTGTTTCGAAAAAGGTGGGGTAATGATTTTTAACGGCTTCATTATACTTTCTCTTCGGCCCCCACCCCTGCCATAAATAATGACCGGTCCCTTAGTTGAGGAAAGGAATATTGAGGAATTGACAAGTATAAAGCTGAAACTATATGACAAGTGCAAAGAAGTCAAGGACTTTCCAAGAGGAGAGTTTTACTCTAGAAGAAAACCTAAGAGTTCGAGTGGTTTTAGCAGTCTTGAAGTTAGAACATCATCTTGCTGATGACGTTTATGAGTTAATGAACTGTCTCGATACAGGAATTGTGACAAGTGGAGTTAAAGCTTTGATTAAGTTGGATTCAACTACAAATGTGGCTGACGGAAATAACAAGGTCAATCACGAGCCTGGCAACAGTATAAACAATGTCAATGACGTATCGCTAATAAGTCCAAACATTACAAATCGTTCGTTAAGCGGTTGGTCAGTGTTGAAAAGCAAACTTTCGTCAATGGAATCCGATCAAATGTTGTTCCGTGAAAGAGTGCTTTCTGAAATTATGGAATTAAAAACCAAAGTTACAGAGCTTGACTCCACCATACAAGTACAAAATGCGGAAATGAAACAGCTTAAGTCAGAAAATGAGTGTCTGCTTGGCATGCATCCTAGTAGCAATAACATGTTCTGCAATAATAAATCTATAAGCAATTCTCAGGAATCCAGTGACCATGTTGGTCAGGATAAGAATTTAAGCAAGGAAAATGAGGATATTGTCAATAATTACGCCACCACACAAAATGTGTTGAACGTCCCTTTATTGAAAGAACCCCGTTCATACAGGTCGACTGTTATGTCAAACAGTCGGAAGCAAACAGATGAAGTGAGTAATCGCCGACCAAACAAAGAGCAAAATCAGAAACAGGAAAGTAAAAAACCCGCAAAATCCAAAGGGAATAATACTAAAAGTTCAAGTATAGTATCACTAGACGATGAGTTTATTGGCGTCCAACGGAATCGTGTAAAAACTAAGCGCTATTATATTGGTGGAATTGCAGAAACTACGAAGAAAGAAACAATTCTACAGTACCTGAATGGCAAGGGAATATCCCCGACATTATTTAATTTATTTACCAGTAGAAGAAAAGGAACGCTTTCCGCTAAAATGAATGTCCATGCCGAAGATGTTGAAAAGATGATTGTGGAAGATTTCTGACCAAAACACGTGTACTGTAGACCAACTGTGGGTGTCCAAGGAAAAGTTAGATAATAAAGTTGGACACAAAGCAAAGCTGCCTACAGGAAGCGAAACTGAGGGAACTAAAAAGAAGGTATGATGGCAGGCTCACAAACCATACTTGCTACATCGAATATCCCTGTTATATTAAATCAGCGTTTGAATCGCACGGAAAAACACTGCCCGAGACGAGTTAATATGAACAATTTGACTTATGTTAAATGTACGAACAGGCAAAAGAACTGTTTTGTGCCGATTAAATTTTGCTTATTAAATACAAGATCGATAAATAAGAAAGAACTTATCCTTAAAGATTTCACGTTTGAAAACGATATTGACATTTTTGCAGTAACTGAGACATGGTTGCGTCACGATAATACTTTTTCTGTTGCTGAAGTCTGTCCTAAAGGATACTATTTTCATCATATCCCAAGAAAAAACTCACG